CAATGAAAATCTAATTAAAAGACGATGAAAACTGGCATCACCATTTTGATAATTGGTGAAGGACAAGGAAAGTGAGAAAGCTCTGCTGTGCAGAGACCTGCAAGTGTAAATACGTAGCTGGGGGGGGATGCAGAGCGCAGAGGTGACAGAGGGTGAGGGGAGGTGTCTCTTGATGGCAGCCCAACTTAGCGCTAGATGTGGGCAGATTTAGACCAGATCTAAGGGAGAAATGTTTCACCATGAGGGTGGTGAACCCCTGTCCCAGGTTGCCCAGAGAGGTGGTGGATGCCCCATCCCTGGGAACACCCCAGGTCAGGCTGGACGGGGCTCTGAGCACCCTGCTCTGGTTGGGGACGTCCCTGCTCACTGCAGGGGTTGCACTAGATGGCCTTGGCAGGTCCCTGCCAGCCCAAACTGTTCTATGATTCTGTGATTCTATGATGTACAGTTACACTGCAAACACGTTGTGGATGAGTGGGAGCGGTACAAGGACGTCTATCATAGCTAAATATTGTAGGAGCTGAAACACAAGCTAATGAGCAATTTGTTAAAATTACATGCATTCAAAATAAGATGCGTTCGGACTTGCTACTCTTTTATGAATTTGTATTTGCAAACTGTACCTGCAGTATGGTGTGTGCTTTATAAGTAGGGCCTCCACCCTCAAGAGTTTACATCCTAAATTAGAGACTTGTACAATCCAGCCTGTGTGATCTGATGAGATATATGTCCAGAAGCCTTATGCCTGTGCTGAACAGGAATGCTCAAGCTAATTATAACTGGAAGAAGTCTAATTGTAGCAGCACAGAACACAGCATGGGTCACTTACCTTGGCAAGAAAACCTGCTTTAAGCAGTTTAATATGCATACGGTGCTTCAAAGTATTGTCTTCCTATGCAGTAGGCTTAGAACTTGTTTGATATATGAAAGTCTTTCCTTTGGTTGTTTCAGTTAATTTGTCAGAAATGAGGAGGAGATGGCAACAGAGACGTTTGGAGTAACCCGCCCAGCTCTACATTACCTGATACTGAAGAAGTCTCGTCTCGCATTCCTTATACACTACACTTTGATTCTGCAGAGTATTCAATTATTGGGAGAGTGGTCTCCCAGGCAAAGGAGGAGAGAGTGTTACTATCCAAATTTGCAATGGTTTTTTATGCTGCTCCACACCTTCCCTTAAAATAGCATTTCATCCCACTGGAACTATGTTCAGTGAGCTCCATGACAGCTATTTCAAAACTCAGAAAGCTCATCATGATTTTATACCTCAGTAATCTTGTCAATGAATGGTCACAAGGACAGCTCCCCACACTCTGGACTTGTCAGCTTTTAAATTGTAGCATCCAAACGCGTCCCAGTGGTTAATCTCCCTGAGAAGGCATAGGATACAGCATGTCTCAGGTTTCCCAGATCCTACCCTTTGCGTTTCACAATCTCAGATGTGTACTGTTTATTTCTTCATGGATGACTGTTCTGTTAGCAGAAATAAACAGGTACAGCAAACTTTGTGTACGGAATATTAGCATACACTGGAGGGCTCGCACACTTTAGCCACAATATAGTTGTAAAGCTTCTACCACTTTGTTGCAGTTGCGCAAGACTGCCAGTATGCATCAATAAAAAATGCAAGAAGCACCAGGGTGATCAGGGTGTGATTTATTAGGAAAGCTAGTGAAAAAGGTTCCAAAACCTGAAGCAATATAAACAGCTGAGGGGGGCCAAACTCTTTAAGGCCTTTCATCCCATGCAAACTTTTCACCTCATAGACTTTGTTTCCACTGCCAAGGCGGGCAGCCCTTCATATTCTGATTGTTTACCTTCTCAAAGCACCCTGAACCCTTCAAAAGCCTAAAATTGTTTTTAGTGAGTAACCTATATAAATTCTAAATAATAAAATAAAACAAAACTTGTCCAGGAATAAATTATGCTCACGATCCTGCGGATTGTATTTTTAGCACAAGTAGAATTCCACTTTGTTGGAATTATTGCTCTGAAACATAAAGGCAATTCTGCTCATTATATTGTTCAGCCAGGCAGTCAAAAGATCTAAAACTCTCCAGAGCAGGATGAAGCTGTAAAATGCCTTTGTAACTTCCTTGCTATCGATTTCACCACGTAACACGTGACGGGCTTGGATATCAAACAGTTTCAGAGAGTGCCCTGGGGCGAGTATATGCATGAGGGCGAAGGCACGGATGGGGAAACGAGCTGCGTGGCTGCAACGCGGGCAGCGCGGTGCCCTGCTCTGCATTCTTGCAGAGCTGAGCCAGAAGTTCCACCTCCTCTGCACCTTCCTGCCCACATAATAGGCTTTTTCAGGGATCCTTCCCAAAACATGCTGAGTAGTCCAGGCGATTGTTTACTCCAGGTGTGGAAAGGAAATTTTAAGCAGTGGATTCTATATCCTCTCTCTCCTCAACCTAAAGAAGCCCCCAAGTACACTACTTACTCATGCCATATAAAAAAAGACCAACTAGCTCCAGGAGCAGAGGAACTAATGAAGTCTGGGTTCTGTGGATTTATGTCTTCTTGTAGGCTCTCTTGCGGCTAAAATGGAACATTTATCTCTGAGGGGATTAGTCTTTTGTGCCTTATCAGCTTTGCCTTCACTGGGGGCACCAGTATGGTCACTTTTCTCTATCTCACCGATTTTTTTAATTAAACTTTCAGGCATATAATTCCTTTGAGAACCTGTGCCTCTGTCCGACTTGATTGATATTTGTTTTAAAGCTTAAAAATTACTCAAAAAAGCAGGGGTCTCCATGGGCAGATAAAATGGGCACGGCTTCACTTCTTTAGGAAACCACGCTCTTGGAAAAATCAATTTTTAAATACTTGATATTCTGTAAAGTGAATGGAATAGAGTTTATTTATTTCCTTTGAAGCATAACATAAAAGATTTTCTTCAAGTCAATGTGAGTATCATTTAATCTAATTTGATTACCTGGAGAAGGGACTGTGTGCCTGAAAGCTTATTCTCTTTTTCAGTTATATGAGCTGGTCTATTATACTACTTTATTCCTCCCTTCAGAACTTGCTTCTTGTCTAATTAGAGACCCTGGTGCACTCTCATTAAATCTCTCAAGGAGTATTATTCCCTGAGGAAGTCCTGAGGCCAGTGAACTAGATGCAGATTTATAATAGGCACATGATTAGATTAAACTAGTGGGAGAATTCAATATGTAACGTATGCATGCAAATGATTATAAATGTACCGATCTCAAATACTACATTTTTCCACATCGAATTGTTCCTGTTGTTGTAGAGTTTTAAAAATCTTTTTGGGGACAGAAGATGATATTTCATATTGTGCCTAAATCATCAGACCAGGCAATGGCAAGTCTAAATACTTGCTCTCCTTTTAGAAATGGAGTCTGAACATGACTCAGGATTTAGCCCATGGTCATTACTGTCAGTATTAATAACAGCTTCTGTTGAGAAACCTTCCTTTGTTTACTATTTCAGCAAATTCACCTGATGATCTTTTGCCTTTGAATAATATATGCATGAGACAACAGGGTACGTCTGGGTGCTTTTCTTGCTGCTTCACCCTTCTATAACTTGAAATTCCTGCCCGTTTATTAGTAAGAACTAAATGTACATTTCTTACGTGAATTGCTTGGCATAATCATTCTGTGGCAGGAGAAAGGCTCACAAGCTGACCCTTGCCACAGCTTTTTCAGAACGCGTAACTGAGAAGTTCATTTTGCCAAGGGACTGCCTTGGCACGGGGTGTGTGAATGACTTGCCTGTGGTCAAAGATTGTGGTAGACAGAGGAAAAAAAAAATCCAGCTATCTAAGCAAGCATCCTAACCACTGGAGCATCCTACCTCTGCAGACATTGCTCAAGAAGGAAGAAATAATTGGGCTGGATTTTCTGCGACTGTATAACCAATAATTAGATGGTCTCTTTTCTCTTGCTTTTAAAAGAGCAGGCCCTATTAACTTTTCAGCTTTGGTGTTTAAACTGTTTTCATGGTTGATTCAGTTCAATTAGTCTTCTAGTTCTCAATCCTTTGTTGCTTTAATGGCATTCAGAGTACTGATTCACTCCTTCATGAATCAGGAAATCTCAACAGAAATTTAATTTGGATTTTTTTTCTACGAACTGTAGTAATAGGATTAGCAATTCTGTGCCACTTATGACAAATTTAATCAAACTTAAATTTATCAGTAATAAAATTTCAGGTGGCTTCAGTACAGGCAGGACAGGGTCCATCAAGATCCATCAAAAAACAACCAAGGAGCCAATCCTCCCATTCCTTCCCCTTTATCCCCCACCCCAAAACCAACGGGGATCAGCGCTTTGCTGGACTGATCCCATACTGGCTTCCATCGCTCTGCTCTTGCCTAAAGGATAGAAAATAGGAAAGAAATAGGTACATGGAGATCTGTAACACAGGGACATCAGACCTACACCTTACAAACAGCACTGGGTCTCTGTTTCGTCTGTGGCTTGATGAGGAGCAGATCCTGTTTGTTAAAATCTGTTTGGAGTAATTGGTTCTAGAATGCAATAATATCCAACAAGTATTTCAGATTCATAGGTGCTCTTGTACATAACTGACAGTACAAGCTCTAAAACGGCTATATTTTTACATGAAAAATACATCCACGGCACATTTATTACAAAACATCATTTTCTCTATTGCTTCTCTTGCTGAACAAACGACTCGGCTATTTTGCATCTTGACAAAATAACTTGATTTAAGCATTTTAAGCACTGCTCACCTATTTTGTTTCCACTTGCTAAAATTCACAAGCTCCTCTCCACCTTTTTCATCGTTCAACAGCCACACTTCTGAGCTGAATAACCCCGAGTACACGATCACTGATAAAATGCTGCAGAGTAGTATCTCAGAAGCATCTGCAGGTATATTGTCAGAGTTCTTTATAAATATTTACTTATAAGAGTTCTCCAGAATCCAGTATTTTCAGATTTAGTCTGTCCAACAAAATATGTTGATTAAAGTTCACCACAATTTGATGATAGAAATTCTTACTGTGTTTTGGTTTCCTTAAAGATTGTAGAAGTCTCCTTTGACCTGCTGTAGTGTTTTGCAAATGTGGTTAGTGTTTGCAGAGCTTCTGACAAACCTTCTCCTGTGAGAGCACAACAGGGCTGTACGTACCAGTTTCTGTCACTGCAGTACTTCTTCATGTTGAATCTCCTGGTAATTTCCTCAGCGTTCAAAGCTCCGTGCAAATCCTGCTTGTTCGCTAGCATGATGACTGGTACGTTTTTTATAAATTCATTCTTTAAAATGAGTTCAAATTCTTTCTTTGATTCCTCCAGACGTTGCTTATCAGAGCTGTCCACAACATACAGCAATCCGTCTGTGTCTTCCAGGAAATCGCACCAAACCTGTCTCATTTTCTCTTGTCCTCCAACATCCCACAAGGTCAATGTAAAATCTTTCCTGGTTTCAATCATATCAACATTAAAGCCAATTGTTGGAATTGTTAGAAAAACATCGTTATACTTGAACTTGTACAACAGTGTCGATTTTCCCGCAGAATCAAGCCCTAACATCAGTATATTAGCTTGCTTGACTTTGGAGTGTTTGGTGTTGTGGAGGCCCATTTGTGCCTCTAGTAAGTCTTTAAAACTGGAATTCGCCGCCTTCCGTGAAGCCAATTTTTGTCAGTAAATCTCTCCTCCTCCTTGAGATGAAGCACGAAGAGTAAGGAAGAGGAAGGGGAATAAGCAGCTTTGCACTACGAAAAGTAAGTAAAAGCTCTGTACAAATACATGCTGGCTTTTATCAGCCTGATAATACGCAAACAGTACTTATGAAGCTGTAATGCTCAGTGCCAAGCCTGTGGGTGGAACAACTATGAGTAACGTACCAGTTGGTCACAAGTGCAAAGGTTACAGTCTTCAAACGTGTTTGAACGGTGAACCACACTTACATGACCGTTTCAGAACTCCTTACAGTGTAGAATTGTGTGTAGCGAACCAGCAGCAGCCTGGTTATACTCCCTAATCCCATGGTCCAGGGAACCGCTAGCTGTCGGCCCTGTTTCAGTGTGAACTCAGAGATAAATCCCTTTATTACTGCATCCACGTGTGTTTTGGAAAAGAAACGAAGTACAAACACAGCCAGTGAGGAGGGGAAATCTTAAGATTTGTCGATACTTATCAATCCACAAAGTGACAAGGGGCCTGATTTATCAGTGTGGCTCATCTCCCAGCAACAAATTAATCTCAAGAGGTTTCCAGTGTGTGTCTACATGGGCACATGGACTCGGTCAAACAGTAAGAGAACTCCACTTCAGAATGTGCTGAAGGCTGCCTCAGACTCCAGCAGTTATTCCTCCCGCCCGCTCGTGCATGAAGTTGTCTGCTTTGAGAACACTGCTGGAGTTGTAAACTCGGGGAGTTATGTTTGTATGAACAAGTTTAACTGTGCTCTGCGTGGTGGAGGCTTAATACAGAGGTTATGATCTGGTCGTTGCTGAGATTCAGCTACCTGAAATTAAAAATTTCTATTAGCTTCATTATTCTGTTTTTGCCCACTGATTTACAATCAAGATTTCCTTCACGAAAGGAATGAGAAGGGGGGGGGAAGTAGCTGAATCTCAATCAAACGATCATTTTTTTTGCCAGCTTTCTAATGACCATAATAAAAAAAAAGAGGAGACAGAAAATTTAGTCTAGTATTATTTATTTCATATTGAGGCTCCATTTTCTTGACAGTTAGTTGACCCACGTTGGGCTGGCCCAATGCATACAGAATATTTCAATACTTAGTTGCCTTCATGGTCAGATGCACTAGTATTAGTTATTACCATTTGCTTTTGCTTCAGAAAGTACATAATCAGCAAAAAGAGTAAAGGTCTTCTGGCCAACTGAGCTGCTGACTGATAGGGTAATCATTTTGATAATTACAACATTGGTTGCTCAGATATTACACATGTTGCGTAAAATAAACCTCAGTCTTGACAGACAAGTTATAATCTGGTTTTTCTTGAAGCTAAAAGGGTTATACCAGAACTAATTGGGGGCAACAAAAGATGACAGCGACAAACTCACTGTCGTACATTTTTCAGATTTAATAACACGTATAGATTATGTGCAGGATTTCTTGCAGGAGCAGGTCATGATGTATTAAACCAGGGAAGAAAGTGTTTGCATTTCTTTATAAATAATGTATATGAATGAATTGAAAGATGGGGAGACAGGAAACTATGCAAAACACATTGTTAACACAGTCAAATGAATCATAATTCCCTGCAAAACAGCATGCCGTTTCCTTGAAATATGGTTAGCCTGATAGAGGGCAAAACCTTCCTTCTGTGCGAGCTGTGACAGCGGATGGATGGTCCGTACCCCTGGGTTGTGCCGTGATATAAAGATTACTCACAGTTCTCTGCAGCTCCATATGTTTGCTCCAACTGTATTTGAGATTTATGGTCTCAACTGTTATTTTATTAAAGCAAGACTATCACTTTAAAGAAATGTTTAAGCAATGTCTGACTTTTTACAAGCTAATTAAATTTATTGCCAGGACAGAACAGCTAGCTTCTGAAGACTCCATGGTTTTGCTGTTTTTAACGGTACCTGCGTCAAACGTGAGTTTGGTTCAGAGCAGAATTTTGTGATGCGGAGCTGCTCCCAGGAATGATTTCCCACATTACTTTGGAATTTCTATACCAGCGTGAGATCAAAACAGAGCCGTAGTCAGCTGCACAAGATGCAGGTTCCCCATCTGCATTTGCACTGAAAGGCGAGCATTTGAAAGAAGGAGAAACCTACCTTTGAATTGTCCAAAGGTGTATTTGCTTTGCCAGGGTGAGGCTATCTTGCTTGTGTAGGGTTTGCCTGTAAGTTCAGTTTAAAAAAAAAACAGAGTAACAAAACCAAAACCGGGGCAGCTGATTTACCATCAATTAATCCGACCTCAAACTTTGCACAAGAAACCTTTCGTAAACTATGTAGGCTTACGTAAACTATGCAGGTTCCCAAGTTGTCCAGGCAGGATATTCCTCCACAGCCACATGTTTTTGTAACATAAATTGTAATTAATAACTCGGAGAGGCTTGGGGGCCAATCCTCATGATGATCAATTCCCGTAGCTGAAGCAAAAGAGCAAGTTCCATCTGAAAACGCCTGTAGGACGAGAGGAAATGGCCTGAAGTTGCAC